TGGATTCTGATAGCCCTTGCAAAGATCTACTTTTTCCGCAAGGTCCTAACCTGGCGCAAAAACCTTTGTATTCAGTAGGCACCGTCCTTAAGTCTCTGCGCGCCAGTAGGCGCATAAGGCCGACAAATACGGATGTACTTTGTGGTAAAATGCATCAAACAAAACACCGGCACAATTAACACGTTCTCAGTCCCTTGGCAATTCGTTATTTTGACGTTTTACTGAAGTCGATACTGTCTCCAAATCGCCGTGTTAGGTCTTTTTGCCTAATATGGCTGAAGTAATGAGCATCTAAGATCGTAATATCAAAGTATCCTTCAGGGTGCACCGGAATAAATAAATAAAAAATGCTGCCATTTCCGGGCCATTTTAGGTGATAAATAAAGCTCAAGTCACTCCCAGATTAGTCTCCTTTCTGGGTTTCAGGACGTTCGCGCGAAGATTTTCCAACATTGAATTTTTTCTGAGACTTACCACTGTAAGATGATGACTTAGTTATGTCAGAAATGTAAAAAAAGGGGGGGTCACAGATTTCGTTTTGGAGATAACATGCCCGGAAGAACACCCAACTGGTGAGGATTAAAGAACAAGTTTGCATTTATCGACCATAGTTTCACGAGCCTTGCAGCCGCAAGATGGCAGGATTCGATGTCCCGTGGACAGAAATCTTGAAATGTTTTTTAACTTCCCACATGTTGTTCATTTTTGGACAATGTGGAAATAATTGTAAATAAAATCTGTTTCTGGAAAGAAAAGTAGGGGTCACCGAACGTCCAAGACCATTAAATCCAGACAAAGCTACAGCAATGACCATATGCCCTATCATTATTCATTTTATTACTCAACGCGCGCTCTCATGAACGACGTGGCATTTGAGTTTGTGTGCGCAGTAAGGCCCGGCTGATACGTCGCATTTCTGCGTGTTGAATTCCATTCAATTAAGTGCGGCAGAAATGCGACTGTGGATTCATACGTCGCACTTGTGTCGAATCAGGAGCCCTAATCGGGGACATTCAGAATTAATACTGTCGGGTATGTCGGTCAGCGGAAAATGCTTTAAATGTAAAGTATTCAATATGGCGGACGGAGATACTGAGGGACGAAGGACTTAAATTTTGCGAAAAATTGTCCACCAATGGAAAGAGAAGGAGAAGGCTGACAATCCAGCATTTCGTTTTGCAATATTTTCAGGTTGCGTTGGGACGAGAATGGCCAAGTTTCTTCTTTCTCTTTG